GTGGTCAGGCCTCTACATCAACTATGAAGTGGATTCCCCAAAAGGACATGGGTCCATCTGGCCCCCTAAGAAATACTTACAACATTAGAGATTATATTCCTCGGACTGTCTTTTTCTATCCCTGAGGCCATATTACAATTACTAATTTGTATTGTCTGATCCCTTCCCCTTGGTAACTCTTTTTTAAAGGCAACGTATCGTACCTGGGTCTACCGTGGAACCCTACTACTTTTGGGGGGAAATTCCACAGTCCGTGACATTCTGGGCCCCGTTAATCAGAGTTGAATGGAAAGGCTCTAAAAATCTAGATTGTCACATGGAAAGTGAAAAATAGCATCACACCCCATGGGTGATTTATGTGTTTGCCTCTATCTTTGAATTCCACTGCAGACAACATTTGGACATCAGCCACGCCGTGCATGAGGCAATGTCTGAATAATTAAGAGACAGACAAGAACACGAAAGAGGTGCTGACACGTTTCGAGTCTTCTGTTTTCCTGAAAGACTTTCTGGTGTCCAGCCAGCTTCTGTTCTGTCCGAAGCTACTGCATGATAATAGGAGACACCATTCATCCCTGCTTCTGACAGACCTGGGTGCTTGGACGCCACCTGTGGGCTGAGGGAAGTGATTCGACCTCTGTGGGGTTCAGGTTAATGACCTTCTCCATGGCAAGCAGGGAATGAGATGGTATGCAGAGGAAATGCCCACTCAACGTACAGCACTGGGATTCTGTACACAGACCTTCTCAGAAGGCACCTGGGTACAGGGACGACGTGCGCAGGCCCTGGAGCCAGCCCAGTGTTGGGGGTGAGCAAGTGATATAGGTTCTTTGAGATTCCCTTTACCGATCTATTATATTTACACAGTACTGCCCTCGCTCTTATCTGTAGGGGACACATTCCAAGACCCCCACCCCCGCAGTGGGTGCCTGAAACTGTGGATAGTACCGACCCCCACACAGACTATGTTTTTTCCTATACATACACGTACCTATAATACAGTTACAACTTAGGCACACTAACAAGTTAATAGTAGCTAATAATAAAATAGGACGACTTAAAAAAACATAGCGCATAATAAGTCAGACGGAGAAAGACCAATGTCATATGATCTCACTTATATGTGGAATCTAAAGAACTGAATAAACGAGCAAACTAAACAGAAATAGTCTCAGAGATATGGAGGAAAACCTGAGGGTTGCTAGTTGGGAGGGGGGTGGGAATGAGGGAGAAGGGGAAGGG